CGCACGTTTATAACAGCTCACTCTATATAGAATTACAATCTTTTAAATATTTGACAATATTGCCGTATCTTCGCGCAATCTCTCTCGAGTCTTTGTCATTCTGAGATTGAAGCGATAAAAATAAAAAAGAAATAAAAAAGAATTACATCAATAAATTCTTTATTCGTGCAAGTTAATCAAAAAAAGAGTTTTTAAACAATGTAATCATTAATTATGCGCTATATATACATGATTCAATATCCGACTAAACGGCGACGCGATAGACAACAAGTAAGCCACGCGCAAAAACCACCTAAGCTTTTAATTAAAACGCTCTTTAAACAGTTCCGTAATAAAGTATTTTAGAGCGCTTTTTTTATAAAAACTGACTAATTAAGACAACTGAAAAACAAAGATCGATACAATTTAAAATTGAGCATTGAATTTAAACATAAAAAAAGGAAAAAAAATGGCAATAAGTATACGCTCAAAAATCGAATGTGAAAAAACAGAGCTATGAAAGACGAGAGATTGGCGCGACGAAAGTTAAAAGAAAAAGGCGCGAAAAGAAAAATTTTCGACTAACCACGTGCTCCTAGTGTTCGTCATGCCCGATGAGGATGAGCCGCGGAATGTACGGAGAAGCCGGAAAACCTTTCTCGACACTCTGCTGAGAAAGGACCCGAAGGAGCGATAACGCGCACCACCTCCGCGGACGGGAGTCGGCCACTGACTGAACGTGACTCCGATTCTCTCTGGAACCGGGAGGAGGCTGCGTCGACCGGTCATGGACCACGGGCCTGCGGCCTTCCGACACTGAAGTCGGTGCCGCAAATTTCGCTCCTGCCCCCTTATTCCATCGCGCTTACCGGCTTCATACCTCACAAAATTTTCTGATAAACTTGCGCGACATATTTATATATATATATATATATATTGAAATTTATTCCAAGTAAATTTAAAGCAAATTTTAAATATGTAACAGTTATGTTTAGCAAATGTTATTGTTATTAGATTCTTGCCGATTAAATATAAGAATTTTTAATAATTACGATCATAAATGTTATAAATTAGCTTTTATGCCTAAGAGTAGGCATGACATACGTTTCCGTTATAACAAAAAAAGAATTGGCATAGACACGATGTAAATATGATTTTTATTTATAAATACGCGGATAAGTAAACTATAAAATATCGGTGTTACATTGATAAAAAAAAGAATAAAGGTTATCATTTTTTTAATATATAAGATTTATGTAAGATTTATAATCCAAGGAAATAATTCGTTCCACTCGAATGTGCATACATGCATCATTTCTAGAACATAAAAATAAAAACGAACGAATAACGTTCAGTAAAACATCTAATTGAGATAACACTCGCAAAGTGCAGCGGAAGCGTCGATAATTAAACTGTTCAATATTGAGAAGCATTCCGACATATAATCGTATGTATTAATTTCATATTCATAATACTAAACCAATTGTAAACGAATGTTTATTTTTTTGCAAAGAACAAAAATAAACAAGAATACCAATCAATCCTTGTTGAACTAAATTTAATTGAAATACGGACTGTCCGTTTTTTATTTTTGTAATGTTGACTATGTAATGTAAACAAAGAATATGAAATAAAATTTTTAGGAATCCTTTAAATGAAAACTCCGTTATATACATTAAATATATAATCTAAATATGAATTTCACTCTCTCTATTTAGCATTGTCCAAAATTTTTTATAAGATACGTGAAATGTCTTCCATATCATTTTTATACGCAGTAATAATAAAATTAATCTATTCAAAATGAGTCTGTTTCTTTAGAGTTAAACTTTAAATCGTTTAATAACATCTGTGAGTAAAATCAAAGTTATTGAGAAGATATGAGAAATTTGGCATGCTACCAGTTTAAGTAGCCCAAGGCCGAGAAAAGATCGTGATCTCGCGGCTTCTGGAAATCCATTCATCCGTTCACTCACTCCGCGGACGTCTTAATGAAAAGTGAGTCGGCGAGGGCGGTCGGGAACAAGCGATTTACGAGCGATCGGCTGATGCGTAGCGCGTGGAAACGGCAAATGAATAATGTAAAACTTTCGCGATGCTTCCTTAACAGTAGCAAACGCGTAATATTACTTGTGACTAAACACACAAACATTACGCGCATGAGGAAAAGAAAAGATAATTTTGATACCAAACTTAAAAAAATATTTGATATACGTAAAACAATATGCAAAAAGTCGTGAAATTATTCGCATAATCAAACAATAATAGAAATCTAGAAAACAATGCATGGAAAAACAATGTTTCATTTATATCTATTTTTAAATCAGTAAAAATTTGACATAATTTAAAAAAATCATAATTATTTTCTCAAAGACACAGAGATTTTGACAGGGGAAAAAAGATTATTTGTTGATTGAAAAAATCTTGGGCTTTTATACGACATAATTATTGCATAACGAATCATTTGATTGGTATGTCATACGAACTGTGTCTTTTATCCTTTCCGCCACGTAATATTATATAATTATCACTAAAGAAGTTAAACTGCATTTTCAAGATAGGATGACATTACCGGAGTTTGGACGATTTCAAGACGGGAGAAGTGGAACTTTTAATAATAAGATCCAGTAGACGTAAACTCTCTCGCGCACTTCGTACTAAATCGTTTTAATAATTGCGAGAGGATCTATCCGAGGAAGAGTAAGGTAATTCTCCATCTTGAACGAAAAGACTTTGACTTGCTATTCAGCAAGATACGTCTTTTCATCTCGATGCAATATTTTTGTTACGACATCAACGTTTCTCTTTAAGCAATACGCAATTTTTTTATTAATAATATATTTTACTTTTATTAATCACATGCCGGTTTTTATTTTGTTATTAAACGAAAACCATTTTCGAGTGAAAATGTAAGGAAGATTGATAATCTAATGAAGACAGAATTAATTATCTCATTAATTCAATAAAAACAAGAAGTATTTGCGATATTAATTTACCTTGACAGTCGATGGTACATGATGAACAGCGCGGCTCCCCCGTCCTGCGGGAATCCAGGATGCGAAGAGAAGTCGTTATTCCCAACACAACGCCGGTTCTTTCTGTTCCTCGAGGCTGTAGGGCCTAAAGGCTATACGACACGGAAGCCGATCCTCACGAAGGGACGCGCGCGTAGAGCTCACGGGAGAAAACTGACCGAAAGAAGCGCGGAACCCGGAGAGAGAACCGACCCCCGATATGAGTTGGTTTCGGTGAGAAGAAGAGGGGCCAAACGGCATGGGGGAAAGAGAGAGAAAGAGAGGAAGAAAATGTGAGGAAGGGAGGATGAGGGGGGGGGGAGGGAGGGATGAGTAGAGCTGGTAGAGATGGGGTGGTCGACTGGCAAGAGAACGAGATAGTTGAAGAGAGGAGGAAAGGTGGGGATTTCTTACTCATTCATACTCCAACGCCCCCGCGAATTACGAGCACCAACTCCTTTCTCCCCCCCCCCCCCCCCCCCCTTCAACCCCCCCCCCCTTGGTTTACGTCTCTCCCTCTCTCTCTCTCTCTCTCTCTCACACTCTCTCTCTTGTCGTCCACATTTGAAATGCGTTCAATGCCGCCCGATTAACGAATTTATCGTTCGCAGTTCTTTTTCAAATACATCACTGAAGCGTGCGAAGAACAAAATTCTTTGAGAAGAATCTCAAAGATTTTATTTTCGTTATACGAAATTCTTGGATTTGTTTTCTTTATACATTTCACACAACGCGTCATTTACTGATTAGATTTTCTTTCTTGTAAGAATTATTAAATGTGTATGAATCTAGAATAGCTTTGTCCATAATAAAAATATCAGTGCTTCAACAATTTTTAATAAATTATAAACAAATAAAATTTTGAAAGAAAATTAATAAAATAAACATTTAAATTAAATGAAACTAAATTAATAAATTACGCGCGGAATATAATAGTATTTTAAGTATATATAATTTAATTACTGAAATTAGGTCAATTAAAATAATTTTAATTTGAAATATCGTCGATAAAACAATTTTTATATAGCTGAAACTTTAATCGCATTGCAAAATATGAATATATATGTTATATATTTGCTTAATTAATACATTAAGGTTAAAAGTGCCTTGATTCTAGTGGCTGCGATAGAAAATGAAATTTTCCTTGACGGGGAAAATACTGCATTCCTCGTCTATCGAACTCACGCTATTCTGTGCGCGGGAGCGAGATATTCGAACTCGTTTATCATCGTTATCGGTCGAGAATCGCATCTGCGATAGACGGTCATACATTAACGGCTTTTGTTAATTAACGCATCTGGCCGTCGCGCGAACAATGCGCGTCAAACGGCAACGGCTATTGAATTTCGGCGAATCGGATAATCCGCGTTCTGCGCTCCAAATCTGCGCCCGTTCATCCGATACATGCCAGCCCGGCGAATAATCATACGCTCGCGTTTTATTAATCGACATACCATTTTGTTAATTACGCGGGAGTATTATGCGGCGGCGAAGTACCGGGAGAAATGCCGAGTGACGCAGCTGGCCCGCTTGAAAAGCCCGTGTTTGGACGCCAACGCCGGCGGCGTGGTGTGTGGCATCCAACACCACCTGTTATAACTCTTGAAATTACGAAATCCTTGTATCTACTGTTTGCAATCCGGTCTGTTTGAAACTTGCCACGTGCTCAACCTTACGTATATAGCACAGCCATAATTTTACCTTGTTGGCGATGCAGCAACGAATTGTAATTAACGCTGCGCGCGCGCGCGCGCGCGTTTCGCGTGATTGCGATTCTACAATATATTCGACATAATGTTGATAGGAAATTTCATACGCGAGAGAGATGTGATTTATAAATCAGAAATGTTACGGAATTGCACGCTATTAAGATGCAAAACTAATGCAGAATCTTGAAATTCTAAAGAGAAGCAAGAACATGTCACGTCCTTGCATCATATCCGTGATCCTCGTTTCTTTTCTTAAAGACATTTATAGTTTTATCAATAACAATTCTTATATTTATAGCCGATCCGCTTATATACTTGACTGCGTCGACGAATATCGGCAGATCGACATTATAGAGACGTGATTTGCATAATAATCTATGCTGGTCACGCAAGCGTAGTACAATACAGAGCTGCATAATAAATATGCAAGTTATTAAGAGCTGCAAAAAGATCAGGACTTCCTTGAAACAGCAGCTTTTTTTCGTAGTATCTTGAAACATCTTGCCATATACAAATATTACAGCGCATATGGGCGTCAGCTATATACACACTGGAGAATAGTCACTGATAGATCAAAGAATGCTTTTGAAAACCATTACCTCATAAAACTATTTTAAGACAATTTCATTTGTCCACAGAATATTGGACGATTGATATCACAAAATATATATTTTGTTAAAAACATATTTAACGCAAAAACTATATACATGAACAAAATCTTTATATAACTTTTTATGTTGACAATGAGAGAAATGATTTAATAACGTATAATATTTGTCTTCTCTCTCTCTCTCTCTCTCTCTCTCTCTCTCTCTCTCTCTCTCTCTCTCTTTATTTCTATTCAATAATTATTTAAAGAATTTAGAAGCAAGTACAAGAAAACAAATATTTTCATTATCATTTCTCATTATCATTCGAGGCTATTTTTAACGGCATAAACTTTCGAAAGCTTTTGATCACAACACCTCGACATTTATCGCTGCGGCAGTTTTTAAAGGCAGGACACGTGTTGTACGCCATAGAAGAAGGGTGGGCGTCAAAGGAAACAGCCAGTGACCTCGAGAAGCATCCATCATATTTAGGACACCCGATAGACGATAACTATGCTCCAGGATGCAAACTGATAGAAACCGTGCGTGTGCGATTCATCTTTATTGAGTCACATTGTTCATTCATATTTTCCTCTCTCTTTCAATTCATTGATATTATTTAGTGAGAATGGATATTATTATATCGTGTGTAATCATATAATCAATACAGCGTGATAAAAAAATACGAGTAAAATATGAACAGATAATATCAGATGTTAAACAAATATTTTAAGCATCATCATAGTATTATATGCATTATTATTAATATTATATATATTTGAATGATTTAATATATTTATACTTAGTGAAAGCAGCTTGCTTTCAAATAATAAAAAAGATTGAATTGTTTTTAATTATTTTCTATGCTATGTTTTACGTTTTCACTCGAAAATAGGTTCTCGTTTGATAGAAATGCGTGGGAGACATTTATCTCAGCTATCGTTCCAACTACTTTCAACAAAGTTGATTAAAAACATTTTTGGTGCGATGTGTTAAAATAATTAGGTCATCCCAGATAAGATTTTTTATTTCTGTAACAGCAATCGCGGCGATTTCGCGACACAGGATGATGCTGAATGAGAAGAAACGGATGAACAACGCCGATTAAAAAAAATCAGTTGGAGCTGATATAACTTACCAAACAATGACAGCTTGCGTAGCGGTTACGTTATTACGATAATATTATACTGAGTATCCGGCGAGATGTGACGTCGCATCCAATTTTGCGAGCTGGTTGCATGCAGTGAGACGTGGAAAATAGCATAATAAGAATGGAGTATTCTTATACCGTAGAAGAGACACCTCCTGACGACGTTCCCAGCGTGGAGCACGACATTCGACGCGCAAAGAAATTTCTTCAGAAACACAGCACAGAATCGGGTGACAGTTTGTAAGCGCGCCACTGAATTTCCTACGATAAGAATTATGCAATTGTATTCTCCTTGTAATGTATTCTTTTATTTCCAATATACACACAATATTTCACATTACACTTACTGTCATAACTGCGTTTCGCAAAAGAGCTCCGATGATGCGATCATGGTATAAAAGCAATTGTTCCATTGTTAATCCTGAAATAAAGTTTTTTTTTTATTACAAAAACTTAATAATAATGAAGAAAAAAAGGATGTTGAACGAAATATCGAGCAAACAGATTATTAATTTACTTTTGACGACCCTTTCTAGATACGACCATCTAACTGAACTTTTAGCAAAATTACTTGCTGAGCAACCGCGAAACGCAATCGATACTTTCGAGGAATACAGCAGAAAATTGAAGGAGGAGAGATTTAAGACTAAGACGGATCATCTTCGAGATCTGTATGTACCACCGGTGCAGTATGACGATGCCAAGAAGCTCATTAAGCTCTTCCAGGTGCGGTTTGACAAGTAACAGATAATGAAACCGCGATACACACCGAGTTTTCCTCGGATAAATAACATGCAAATGGCGCAAACGATGCAAACTATAATCTTCGTTTTATTGTGCCTTTCAATCTTCCTGCAATCATGGCAGAGTGTAAAGCAGATTGACGAAAACGATCAGGAGAGAATGGAGGACGAGGAGGAGGACGATAAGAAAAAGAAGTACCCCGACATGTTGGATCTTTTGTTCTACTTCGAGCAGACGGGTGTAGGGTTGCCGCGACACGAAATGGTGTTGCTTAATTTATCGATTCGGAAGCTGGCCTCCACAGTCCCGCTTGTAAATATTAGGTATTCGATTTGAATGTAACTTGCGTTATTTTGGACTTGTATATCTCACACTATTTTCTATATGTTTATTTAATATATTTTAATATATTTCTTAAATTTCAATTCGTATTTCACAGATTTTGGGGTAAAATACTTGGAAAACCCAAAAATTATTATGTAGTGGAAGCTGAATTTCAGGCGGACGAGCTTGCTCGAAGATTAGAGGTAAAATATTAGTATTAAATATAATACGTAATTAACTTCTGACATGTTTCTCTTTGATCTTTGCCACGCTTTTCCCCCAAAGTAATTTACGTGTCATAAAAAACGCATGACAATTTCATTCACTAAATATACACGTTATCTAAAATCTCGATTAACACTATCTGTGACGCTAAAAGAATGACTTAAACTAATATTTGTATTTATTAATTCATCATGTTTATCGTATATCTAGCTTAAAAAAAAAAGATAAATTAAAAGAGATATTTATCGCAGTATTAAAGCAGCTTTATCTGAATTTTCTTCGAATAAATGAATAAATAATATGGTTATGTATATTGTTCCGTGCCGTGTAAAATCTTAAGATCCTCTTAAGAATATCGTAATATTTTCTTTAAAAATAGCAAGAGAAAGCTAAGGTACAAGCTCAAAGAGAGAAAGAGGAACCCGAAACCGAAGCAGCAGCAAAATTCGCAGAGGAAGAAGCCGCGGCAAAAAACGAGACGGGAGCCGTGGATGAAACTGTTGGAGCAACGGAAATCCTGCACGAGGATACGGTAATAGGAAAACCCTTGGAGCTTGTCTTTCCTCCGCTGCCTGTTAATCCGTGGAGACCGTTGCCGGAAGTACCGGCTGAAAGAATCGGGAGCGGTCTAAATAAAAAAGTACGTGCGTTTACGAGCTCTCAATTATTACCGGAATATCAAAGGCAATGCGTATAACGAATTAATATTCAATTCGCATCACATCGTCTTTTTTTTTTTTTTTTTTTTTTTTTAATAATCTCCCCCCTTCCCCCCGATTTTTGTGAAGCGGGTTCCACATAGA